TCATAACCAAATAATAACTTGGAGAGTCAAAACATGATGTATATTAATGTTTGTGTGGTGTTTCAGATGTTCCACCTTCAATGTATAAATAACAACTAAGAAAATAAATAACAAAAAATAAATGAATGAATCTTTAGATTAGAATTGAGAAAGAGATGATAAATTAATTCTTCATTCAAAAACAAATTTGTTTAAATTTAAACAAGTTAATGAAATACTTAAATCAAGAAAATTCCTCTTCAATAAAAAATACATCAATTATACTTTTTTTGTAGAATTGAAATAACACTAAAATGATAAATAAAAAAACAAAAAAATCAATTTAAGAAAAATACAACCAATGCAAGACTCTCTTGTAACAATAGCTATCAATATCTTTTCAGCTAGAAATTTACCAAAAGCAGACCCAACTGGATTATCTGATCCTTATGTTATTTTAACTTATACATCATTAAAAGAAGGAGAATTAATAAAGAAAAGAAAAAAAACTGAAACAATTAAAGAATCACTTTCACCAACATGGAATAATTCATTTGTATTAAAAAATGTAGCTCCAGAAAGTATTTTAACATTTAATTGTTTTGATTGGGACAATGCTTTTAAATTTAGTTCTGATGATTTTCTTGGTAAATTTAAAATTATGGTAGAAAGAATACCAATTAATAAAAAAGTTGTATGGAGAGTTCCATTAATGGATAATATGAAGTCTGCTGGTGATTTAATGTTTTGTACATACGCAATTCCATCTACTTCATTTATACAAACACAAAAAAAAATGTTATTAGGAAATGTTATTTTAACCGTTGAAGAAATGGATACTCCATTATATGTTTGTAGATATCAAAACCGACTTGATGTTAATATCCAAAAAACTAAAGGGTTCATTAATGAAAAAGAAAAAATACCAGTTTATGCACAAGCTTCAGTTGGAAAACAAATTCTTGAAACTACAGTTTGGAAAAAGAAAGGAGATCCTTTTTGGAATAGTACTTTTTCATTTTCATTTAAAAACGCTAATAATATTAATATTCAAATTAAAGATTGGAAAATGGTTAGAACTAAAACTACACTAGGTTCAGTTACTGTTAATTTGTTTGATATTCCTGATAATCAATTGGTAACTAAAGAATTACCAATTAAAGGAGGAAATGGAACATTATGTTGTTCTTTCTATATTACAAAATATCAAATGATTGATAAAATATTACCAATAGAATGTGAAATTGAAGATGATGGAGATGATTGGTGTAAACAAAATATTCAACCATTTGAGTCATTTACTGATGAATGTAATCCAAAAGGAATTATTGATTCTAAATGCAAAGAAGGATATCATTTTGAATTAAGTAAAGATGATATTGGTTCTTTACTCAATGAAGATGTTCCAATCTTTAATGAGAATTATTTTGAAAAACCCATTGAAGAAGGAATTATTGCAAGTGTTAATAAACGAGCATTTTATAATACAGTAAAAACTTCAATTGGTCCAATACTTATTGTTGTAGGAGATGAAGTTGGTGGTTTAAAAAAAGCAGTTGTTATTTCTCAGTTTGGAACAGTGAAAACATATGTTAAAGATATACGAGATATAGACAGTGAAATAATGAATGTATATGGATTGAAAAAAGAACAAGTTAAAATGAAAGAGTGTGGAAAAGAGATTTGGTCAAAACTAATTGAATATGAATCAAGAAATAGACGTCCTGCTTATAAATTTGGATTAGTTGTTGCTACTCAAGGTCAGAAATTTGAACAAGAATTTTTATCTAATACTACCACCTCTCCTCTTTGTCAAGAATTCTTTAATTTAATAGGTAAAACAATTGCTCTTAAAGGTTATAATGGATATAGAGGTGGATTGGATGTTCAGAATAATACAACAGGAATATATTCAATTGTTTCTTCTTTCAAAGGAATTGATATTATGTTTCATGTATCTACAATGTTACAACATGAAGCAAATGATGAACAACATTTAGCTAAAAAACGTCATATTGGTAATGATGTTTGTGTAATTATCTTTAAAGAAACTAACAATAAAAAGGATGATGAAATTGATTTAAATTCATTTATTACTCAATTTAATCATGTCTTTATTATTGTTTCTCCTGTAGTTATAAAAGGTGTTCCTTTATATCGAGTTTGTGTTTGTTGTAAATCTGCTGTTCAAGGTTTTCTTCCACATTTTCCACCAGAAAAGTATTTCCCAAGAGATCGTTCATTTGTTGATTGGTTATTATGTAAAACGATTAATGGAGAACGTGCATCTCTTGAATCACCTCAATTCATTAAGTCTCAAAGAGTTGCACAAAAAGGATTATTAGAGGTGATAATTTCAAATATAATGAATTGATAAATAAATAATCAACAATGAATCATTTATTTTCTTTCTTTTTTCTTTTATAAACAAAAACCCTTTTTTTAAACTTTTTAAAGAAAAAGAAGTCAAATAAATAAAAATTAATTAATGTCATTGCTTGGACAATTACTTGATTTATATTGTCAAGGGAAGTTATGTATTTATTGTGTTGCAAGATTTTCATTTAGAATAGGAGAACGATATTACTCACAAAATATGGAAGATATTATAAATAATTTGTTTCAGGCAGAAAAAAGAGATGTTGTTCATCCAAAGACTAATTGTGTTATTTGTTTTAATATGTCTATTTATTTTCAAAGTGATGAAATAGTTGAACGAATACATGAAGCATTAAAAGAATCAGGACATATTTATGAAGGAACATTTTATATTAATACATCATTTCCACAAGCTATTTTTGTTAGAGAAATGGCGTTATGCAGATATATAACAAGAACATTTCCATCAAAAAACTATTCTCCTTTTAGGTTAAAAGATACATTAAGATTTATTTTAATGAGTAAAATTAAAGACTGGAAATGTGAATTGGAATCACCATTAAAATTAACAATTGAATTTACCCATCAACAATTAAGAGAAGATGGTGATAAACTTATTGAAATATCAGTTGGAAAAAAGAGAAAAAGAATGGAAACATTAACATCAACAATAGCAATGAATATTATTGAAAATATCCCTTTAAAAATATTTGAAGAATCATTTACTATTCCACCTACTAGAAATGAAGAAGATCCAGGAACATATAAGTTTATATTTGAAAGAGATTATATTTATGTTGGTGGAAGATATAGAAAATATTCAAGACAATTAAGTCAATCACAATGGGTTATTCAAGGAAAAGAAATGCATGAACATTCAATTACAAAAGAAATAGGAGAAGTATTAAAGAAATATTTTGAATGTGATGAATATTTTATGATTGCATCTGGAAGAGAAGATGTTGATGTTAGAATGTTAGGAAATGGAAGACCATTTGTTTTTGAATTACATAATCCAAGAAAAGTTACATTACCAATAGAGTTATATGCTCAAATACAAGAAGAAATTAATAAATCACCAGCAATTCAAGTAATGCATCTTCAACCAATAGAAACTAAAGATGTTGATATAATTAAAAAAGGAGAAAGAGAAAAAAGAAAAAGATATTTAGCATTAATATGGGCAGAATCAATGAAAGAATTAAAAATAAAAGATTTATTAATTCAGCAAAAAACACCTATTAGAGTATTACATAGAAGATCATTATTAACAAGAGAAAGAATGATATATTCATTAGAATTACATCCAATTGATGGACATTTTGGATTATTAGAATTAGAAACACAAGCAGGTACTTATATTAAAGAATTTGTACATGGAGACTTAGGTAGAACAACACCAAATATTATAGAATTATTAGGGTGTAATGCAGATATATTATCATTAGATGTTGTTGAAGTTTTACTTGATTTTCCAAAAGAATGTAGACCAGAAAAATTAAGACCTGTTACATTTGATATTCCACCATTTATTACATTAAATGAACAACAAAAACAAAAGTGTAAAGAAATTATTAATTAAATTCACGTTATCTCTTTTTTTTTAAATAAGTTATTTTGGTTAATTAAGAAATAAAAACTCGTTTTTGGATAGGAGGAGAAGAGAAAGAAACATTAATAAATCCTGCAAGAAGAAGAATTAATGAAGAAAAGAAACTACACCAAAATCCCCATGAAACTTCAACCAATGATCCACTTGTTGCTTCAGTTAATTTTTGTGTATCTTTAAAGAATATGAACATAAAGATATTTAATGAAACAAAATTAATAAAGAATGATAAAATACTTAAATATTTTAAATTTTGTGGAAGAACAAAACAAATACATTTACGTTTATTCATTTGAGAACAATCAAATAGAATTGAAATGATAGTAATAATTAATGTAATAAATAATAAAACACTTGTTGTATAATCTAATTGTTGTGAATATTTATTTAAAATATTTATTTAAAATATCAAACTAGCAACTTGAAAAACCGTATCATCCCAAACATGTGTTTTAACACATGAATGTTGTAATGAAATACCATTAAGTGGTGGAAAAATTGAATTACACATTGCTTCTTCTTTGAGATAATCTTTATTTTCAACCCATGGTAAGAAGAAAGAAAGTGTATTAAGGACAAATGCAACTATTGAAAAACAAGCACAAAGAAGAGCAACTAAATTGTACCTTGTTATAACAGAGAATAGACCCATTGCTTCTTTCTAATTTATTAGTTTTCTTTTTTTTTGTTATTAATATTTTTAGTTTTTAAAAGAATAAAAAAAAATAGAAAGAATCAGTTAAATGGATATTTAAAATCAGGATTTGGAATAAATAAATCATTATCAAACATAAATGAAATTTGATGACTTTTTAACCATTCATCAATTTCTGCTTTTTGGTTCGTAGAAGATATTTTATCGTGAAGGTTCTCATTTGATAAAATGACAGCATGTTTTGACATGGCATATTCAATGCTATAATTACTTGTAGAAATATTTGTTGATGTAACTATTTTTTTTTTAATTAGTTTATTTAAGCTTTTATTTGGGGGAGTTGTGTTTTGTTTCTTAAGAGTTTGTAAGACTCTTGAATCAATAATGGTTGTCACCTCATAATTTTTCTTCTCATAATAATCAATGGCATTAAGAAGAAGAGTAACTTCAAAGGTATTTCCATGGCTATTATAATAAGCAACATCAGCACCATCAATAACAATTCGTTTTCTTAAATCGTCAGTAAGTATCACTCCAACAGCACTTAAGGGAAATGCCATTTCTTGGACTCCATTCTCAACAATTAATCCATCAATCATATGATCTCCACATTTACATTTAATTGGCTTAGGTAAAACACCAATACAATAGATTAATCCACCATTAGTACTTGGACAAACAACAGTTGTTGATTGAAGAACAGCTTCTTCATCATATACTACATGTCTATATTCTTCTGGGCTAAGTTCTCCCTCATCACCATTTGGTTTTCTTGGAACACTTGATAATTTACCTATTTTTGATGCAGGTAATGTTTTACGAGATGTTTTTGTGTCGGTGTGATAAAACTTAATTGTCCAAAATACTGAGTTGTGTTCATAACCATAATTGAATGGACATCGATTTTCTTGTTTCATTGAATCAACATACCCATATGAAAATCCACCTTTTGTTCGTGGAACAATTACAAGCTCTTCACGTTGAAAGGAATGTGAAATGTCAAATATAATTCTTAAGTAATCATTGTCATCAATCTCATCAGTAATCAAATGATGAAGTGCTTTCATATTACCTGTTTTTAAGTTTTTTCTTTGGTTTTTTT